CTGGTAAAATGACTGATTTTGTGTAGACATCTAATATGTTTAAATGTTTTTGTGTATTCCTTTTCCTTAGGCTGGTATCGCCAGTGCAACATTATTCCTTATAGCAAAGATGTTGATCTAGGGATTTTTATACAAGATTACAAAGCAGATATTATTACAACGTTTCAGGATGCAGGCCTTCCACTCAAACACAAATTTGGAAAGGTCAGTAATAAAACTCTGTCTTAACTTCATAAGTAACCTGTTTTAAAATAAATTTATATTAAGCAACTCAGAGATGATTCAAACTTTTCATGTATCATTTTATTACTCAGTATTGACCAGTATAACTTGCCCTATTTAAAGAAAAAAGGAGAAAATCAGACTTTGTGTTGTTAATAGAGAAGAATCATGGACTCTTGCAGATATATTTATTATAAATGTATTAGAAAATAGCATAAAATTAACATAATACATAACATATAAATAATCGAATAAGTATCCTAATGTCCCTGCCTGAAGTGTTATTGTTCCTTATGAGTCATTTATTTTTATGTTCATTTAGGCATAGATATCATTTGACATGAAATATTCCAATGATTGCTGAGGGATAAAAATACAGACTCATTTCAAACAAATACTTGGATTTATCTCATTGTCCAACAAAGAAGAATAATCTAGGTCAACAATTTTTCTGAAGATCCATCTAGCAGAGATAAGTCATCCTGGCCTAAACGCAGTCTCCTAGACAGTTTGTTTGCCCTGCACCCTGACCCCATGATTCCCTGCAGTCATCATACTGCTCCTTCCCAGGATGCTGTCATGGAGCATTGCTGGCATGACCCATAGCCTGTTTTGTTGTTAAAACAAGAGGCCACAGATGTCCAGCATTTTTAATCCAACAGTTGCTTTGAGGGAGAAAGCTGAGCAGTCTCCCCACATTATGCTGTGCAGCCTCAGAAGCCTGGTGGAATGATGGAAGGTTGCTATGAACTGACTCTGACTCCTTGGCAGTGGTTCTTGGTGTAAAGATGATGTTAGCGTAGAAAGCAAGTAGAGCTATGTTTAACCACTGAAAATTATATCCCCTGTCTTAACGGTTAATTCTAGTTTTATTTTTAAAAAATGTTCATAGAAGTATTTTCTGAGTAGTAGAACTTCAGCACTACTGAGTACTCACCCTAAGTCTGATAGCTTTGGCACTTGGGGTGCAGAGCTGTGTAAATTAGGGATCTTATTATGTATGAGGATCTAACTGCTAAAAACACAGGGAAAAACACAAGCAATTATGATGTGATTAGTATTGTCACAGGCAAATGTACCAAGTCCAACAGGAATCTAATTATTTGTAGTATCGGTTTCTTTAGGAAAATACCTTTGCTCTGTATACCTGAACTTTTACTTTTTTCATATATATAACGTACTGCTCTCTCTTCTTGCCATCAAGTCAGAGCTAATGCATAGCTGACCCTCCAGCGGGTTTTCAGAGATGATAAATCACATGAGAAGAGATTGCCCATCTTTCTACACAGGAGCAGTTGGTGGATCCAAACCACCTACCTTTGAGTTGGCAGCACAATTCCCTAAGCACTAGACAGTCTGTAGAATTTGTGTAATGTTGTATTTACCCAAGTACATTATTACTACTAATTGAGCTGAGAGGAAGAAATGAAAAGATGACATGCTACTCATTATAAGATGCATCTCTATCTCAGAAGAATTCCAATTTGGGGGGGGGGAGGGCAGTATCTTATAATTAACATTTTGTGTAAAACATGACAATCTTTTTTCATTTTAAAGAAAACATGGGGGGAGGGGTGAGCAGTGAGAAAAATGCAAAAATGAATGAATGAAAATCCAAAGTCTATGTAAACGTTCATTAAAATTAATTTAAAAAAGAAAAGAAAATATATACCCTTTGTCTCAGTCTGTGATGGTTTTCCTTTTCCTCCTAGGTAGAAGACAGCTTGGAACTATCTTTCCAGGGAAAAGATGATGTGAAGCTTGACATTTTTTTCTTCTATGAAGAGACTGACCATATATGGAATGGAGGCACTCAGGCCAAATCAGGAAAAAAATTTAAGTATGAATCAGCTAAGTACTTACAGAAGGGACTGTAGACACAGCTTCAGATGATGGAAATGAGGAAATAACTCAAAGAGAAAAACAAGAAGGCTCTGTTAAGACTCCACTTTAGCAAGTACTCGCTCACCTTACCTGGAGTTCATACACACTGCCAAAAAAATATGTCTTGGAGAGAGTGCAGCTGGAGTGCTCTTTAGAGGCAAGAATGATGAAGCTTGGCCTCATATACTTTGGGCATGTTGTTAGGAGGGGCTATTCCTTGAAGAGGGAGATAATGCTAGGAAGGGTAGTGGGTCTGTGAAGGAGAGGAAGACCCTCAACCAGGTAGATTGATGTGGTGACTGCTGCAATGGGCTCTGTGTGTCAGGAAGTGTGAGGATAGCCTAGGATAGGACAAGGTTCAGATCTTTTGTTCATGAGGTCACTATGAATCGTACTTGACTCGACAGCACCTAAAAACAAACAACTGGTCAAGAAAAAGTGCCCCCAGGTTTGTGGTTGTGATGAGAAATCTGAGTCATGACAAAGAGCCCAGGCAAAAAAGGGGGGAGGGGGAAAGTTAATTGGTTGTTAGAGGTTGTGATAATTAGATGGGAATGGCTAAATGTTGCTAAAGAGATCTTTAAGGCAGAGTGAAGGTTAAATGAAGTGGAAACTAGCATTGACTGATACCAGGAATTCTGGGCTAATTGAGGAATATTTCTTTAGTTAATCTAAAGACCAATCCTGATATGATACTCATTTGGCTTACCACCTAGCATATTTTGTCAAATATAAAATGATGAGACATAAGATGTGCCATTTTATATGCTGCTGCTGTTATTGTTGTTGTGTGCTGTCAAGTCAGAACCAACTCATAGCTGACCCCAGTGGGTTTTCAGAGGCAGTTAATCACATGGGAGGAGATTGCCTATCCTTTTGTGGAGCAGCTGGTGACCTCAAACTGCGTACCTTTGGGATTGCAGCGCAGCTTCTTGCCACTTCACAGATAGAAAAAAATGTGATAGACAATATCTCAGAATTGATAGAACACAGTATGTTAGGTTGATAAAAAAACCCTAGTGTTTTGTTTTAATGAAGTATAATCAAGCTGTTAGTGAAAACACAGCAAAAAAACAATAATGTTAGAGTAATTATGATTGCCTTTATCATCCAGTCAAGTCATCCAGGTCAACAGAAAGGAGGAGTGAGAGGGACAGAAGGCAGAGAAAAACGAAATGACAGTGTGGCGTATATGGACTTGGAAATCAAATAGGCCTAGGAGACTTCGCTTCTACCCTAATATGTGGCTTTTAACTTTTCTGAACTTTTCCTCATCCACAAAATTTTGTTGTACTATAACCTCAGATGGTGAAGAGATTGAGATTGCACACAGCTTTAGTTTGCTTGGCTCCACAGTCAACAGTCTTGGCACCAGCAGCCAGGAAAAGGCGCATTGCCATGGGAAAGTCTGCTGTTAGAGACCTCTCCAAAGTACTGAAGAGCAGTGGTGTCTCTCTAGAAACTAAGGTGCATTTGATACAGGCCATGGTCTTCGCAATCACTTGTTATGCATCAGAGAGTTGGACAATGACTAAGGAGGATAGAAGTAGAATTGATGGCTTTGAGCTGTGGTGCTGGAGAAGAGTATTGAGGGTACCATGGACTGCTAGGAAAACAAACAGATTCGTCCTGGAAAGGATTAAACCGGGTGGCTCCTTGGAGGCAAGGATTCTGAGGCTCCATCTAATATACTTTGGACATGTTGTGAGGAGAGACTGGTCCTTAGAGAGGGGCATCATGCTTGGGAGGGTGGAGGGACGGCGCAGGAGGAGAAGGCCCTCTATGAGGTGGATTGATTCAGAGAAGGCCCTCTATGAGGTGGATTGATTCAGTGACTGGGATAATCGGGATGGGAGTGTCGGAGACAGTGTGATTGGCACAGGACAGAGCAGAGTTTAGGGCTGTTGTACATAGGGTCGCTATGAGTCGCAAGCAACTCGACGGCACGTGACAACAACATAACCTCAGAAAGTTGTTGACCTGATTAAAGGTGGGTTGTGTGTATGTTGGCATGCCCAAATCTTTTTTTTCTGGCTTTTTTTTTATGTGTATCAGACTGTTCTGAATATTTTACATTAATGCATTTAATCCTCACATCAACTTCAGGAGGTAGAGATATTCAGTCAGGTACTGAGAACTTAAATAATTTGTTCAAGAACACACAGCAAATAAGGAGAATCAGACTGACAGCGGTCTGCCAGTAGAGTTTATGCATTTACCCACTATACTGTATTGCCTCCCTAAACACCTGACAATGTGAAGCACTTAGCATAAAGCTTAGCAATTAGTAATTGTAAATAGTGGTGATTATTGGATTTGCTTTCTTAATTATGTTAATATTATGACTTTTCATTACTACTGTTACTGCTATTATTATCCTAGTTACATGATCAATGGCATTAATTCAGCTTCATAGTTTACTGGAAACAGGCCTTCTTTCATTTCATAAATTGAGCCATGAGGCACAATGAGGAATACCAAATCTATAAATAAATATAGAGGAGGAGAATAAATTTAGACTGGGTTCTCCTAGGGACTTTGGCACAGTTCTACTGGGAGCTAAGGTATCTTCTTGGCAGAGTAACTTGTTCTGGAAGTTTGAGAGTAATCTTGCACCTTTTCCTCCAAAGTGTAATGTGTCCCCGTGAATCCTAGAGCATATTCTTAAGACATATATTACAAAACAATTATTATTCATTATAAGAAATTATTTTCCTTTGTATCAGTTAGTTCTTTCATAGGGAATAGGCTCTAATTGTGATAAATTAGTAAGTTACTGAATATATAATTGGACAGTTTTGCTACATCTTAACTGAATAAGGTGAGTGCTTTTGATACTCATCTGTAATTAAGAGAATATTTTTAAAATACTAAGATAGTATGTGTTGTTGTTGTTGTTGTTGAGTGCTGCTGAGTTGACTATAACCCATTAGTTGATGACAACTCATTAGTTGACTACAAGACCACCGTTACAGTCACTGTCAGTCATCTTGTTGAGAGTCTTCTGCACTGACCCTTTACCTTTCCAAGCATCATGTCCTTGTTCAGGTACTTGTCTCTCCTAACAATATGCCCAAAATATGTGAGATAAAGTTTCACTATCCTTGCCTCCAAGGAGTACCTGGTTGTACCTTTCCCAAGATATAGTTATTTGTCCTTTGGCAGTTCATGGAATATTCAGTACCCTTCTGTAACATCACAATTCAAAGGCATTGATTCTTCTTCTGTCATCATTAGTCATTGTCCAGCTTTCAGATGCATAGCAAGTAATTGAAAAGATCACTCTTTGGATCAGGTGCACCTTAGTCTTCAAATTGACAATGTTGCTCTTGAGTACTTTGGAGAGGTCCCTGACATCAGACTTTACCAAGGTAATACTTGATTTCCTGGCTGCTGATGCCAAAGGTATTGATTGTGGATCCAAGCAAGATGAACTCATTGACAGCTTGTATTTATTCTTCATCTACCATGAGGTTGCCTGCTGGCCTGGTGAAGAGGATTTTTATTTTCTTGATGTTGAGATATAATGTATAGTGAAGACTGTAGTCTTTGATCCTCTGCAGCAAGTGTTTCAAGACCTCCTCACTTTCAGCAACCAGGGTGTTATTTGCACAACGCAGGTTGTTGATGTGTCTCCCTCTGATCTTGATGCCACATTTTCTTTATAGTCCAGCTTCTCAAATGATTTGTTCTGTATGCAGATTAAATAGTTATGGAGAGAGGATAGAGCCCTGATGCACGCCTTTCCTGATTTTAAACCATGCAGTGTACCTGTGTTCTATTCAGCTTCTTGGTTTAGGTGTAATTTTCACATGAACACAATTAAGTGTTCTGGGATTCTCACTTTTCTCAGTGTCAGCTATAATTTGCCACTGTACACACACTCAAAGGCCTTTGCATAGTCAATAAAACACAAAAAAGACAGTGTTCTGGTTATTCTCTTCTTGCTGTCAAAATCTATCAGACATCAGCAGTGATGTCCCTTGTGCCACAACTTCTTTTAAATCCAGCCTGAATTTCTGGTAATTCTCTGTTGACATACTATTCTAACTATTTTTAAATAATCTTCAGCAATATTTTCCTTGCATGTGATATTAATGATATTGTTTAGTATTTTCCACAATCTGTTGTATCACCTTTTGGGGGGGGATAGGCCAGGTAGCTGTCCTCCAAATTTCATGGCATAACTTGGTAAGCATATCTAGGGCTGCATTTGTTTATTAAAACATGTCAATTGGTATCCCATCAAATCCTGGGGACTTTTTTTTTCCTAATGCCTTAGTATAGCTTGAACAACTTATTTCATCACCATTGCTTCTTGATTATATGCTACTTCCTGAAATGATTGTATCTTCCATTTCTTTGTGGTACATGGCTCAGTGTACTCCTTCCCTCTTCTGACACTTTCTGTATCATTCAGGATTTTGCCCATGGCATACTTCAATATTGCAACTCAAGGCTTGAATTGGTTTTTCCATTCTTTCATTGGTTTTCAATTGGTTTTTCATTTCTTGAGAAACGTCAAGCCAGTTCTTCCCTTTGTGTTTTTTCAGGTCCAGCTATTTGCATATTTCTTCATACTATTTTGTCTTCTGTTCATCTCTTGTGCTTCAGCAATTCTTCCTTTTGTTTTGGTTTCTCAACATTCTAGTGCAATTTCCAGTCTTTTCTGGCATCTACCTTGATCTTTTCTTTCTCCTCTTTGTTTTGACATTTTACTTTCTTCATGAATAATATGCTTTATAAAGGATAATATAGTATAGAAATTAAGTCTGCTTGTGTTTGAATCCCAGCTCTACATCTTACCAACTGTATTCCTTTGGGCAAGTTAATTAAGTGGTTTTAATTCTCCTTTATGTAAAATTGAGAATAAAGTAAAAATTATCTTACAGATTTAGTGATCAAATGAATTAATATACAAAAGAGCTTTAGAGAGTATTTAGCAAACAGTGAATG